CTGCCAGGCTGCCCTTTTACCCTAGAAAAGCCTGCTCTTAGAAGCCCAGCTGGTCCCTGAAAAGGTAACGTCCAAACTAAAGAACTGTTTCCCTGGACACCCAAGGTAATATGGAAGTGAATTTAAAATACATGTGTTAATGGGGGCATTGAGTTTCTAGGAGAACAACGATGAAGACAAGGATTACTTGAAGGTATGGCTGATTATACAACTCATTGTAAAGCCCATTTTAACATTCCCCATTTGCAAATGATATTTTTTTGGGATTGGGAGCTGTGGATACTGCTGAAAAACTCTGCAGGGATACATAAAGTCATTTCTACCTATTTGAGTCAGGCAAAAATAGCCAAACATTTAACCAGTAGAGCCTGAAGGTATAACATACAATTTGACTCAAAATATCTCTCACACACATATGTACACACTCCCGAAAAGAACAGGTTGTTACCTACTGTAGATTAGCACTGTCCAAAAAATACATAAAGTGTGCCAAAATGCAAGTCACATATGTAACTTTAAACTTTCTAGTAGCTACATTTTTTTAAAGTGAAAATAATTTTAGTAAATTTGTGACTTACTTGGACAGATCCAAAACAGTACCACTGCAATATGCAATTGATACAGAAACTGATAAAACACTTTGTATTTTTTGGGAGGTATCAAACATCTAAAACCCAGAGAGCATTTTATTGGCCAGCCCCCCCCGCCGCCCCCTCCACTTCAGGAGCCCAGCAGCCCCTCTGGCTAGCAGCTATCATACTGGACAGTGCAATTCAGGTCAGTGGACTTCAACGCTGTCCCCTCTCTGCCCACTCCTACTAGTGGGGATTATAAAAACTTCCACTAGAAATTCTGACAGACTTTCCTAAGGGAACTATTTCCCTCCAAAGTCCCTTGAGAATTACTGTTTTGATGCTTCCTATTCGGTTTCCTGTAAGTGATAATTTACAGAAGCTTCCTGGAGGAGGAGGGAAGTTGTCCATGCATCTGGGCTCAGTTTGAGACAGGCAAGGCCACACTTAGCTAGAAAGGGGATGTGGAAGGGTGTTCCCAGTGGCAGCAATAGGTCTATAATTTGAACTTGAGATCTGAGGAGAAGGTCAGCAGTGACCCAGATGGCATGTTCCCTTCGTTCTTCCTGTCTGAGCCGCAAAGGAAGCTGCCTTTTCAAGAGGTGGTAGATGGATTTGAGGATGCTTTCTATCCTCTTGGTTAGTTGGGCACAATGAGAAAAATTACTCTCAAGAGAAGGTAGAAAAATATCCTGGGTTAGCAGAATAGACTAGGAATCCATATCCTATAGCTGGCCAGCCACGAGCAGTAGGAAAGAAATTAATTTAGTTCCATTCCAGCCTTAAGACAGTGTGAAAGAGGGTCATTGGTGGGTGTGGCTGGGTCTCTGAGGAAGCTGCAACATCCCCTTCTTCAGGAAATGGAGAGTGGAAGTCCCAGACCCCTGTAAACTCAAGAAATTCCACAAGGAAAAGAATGGCTTTCACCGAATATAGCTAGCACTGACCATGCTCTCTCCCTGGAAACTTGACTAAAGATGGCAAGAAGGAGGGGGAGAGGAAATGCACATAACAGATAAAATTGAAAGACAGATGATAGTCCTGCAGTATCCCAAAGAACCCTGACACTTCGAACAACTAAAAACGCTGGGCTATATGTATGTGTGCGCATGTGTGTGTATGAATGCACTGCTGCTAAGTAAGTAAAGAATTAGATCTTCTGAGGCCAAAAATGAACTGAGAGAATTCAGAGAGGTGAGCTAAGTCTGAGGCTGGCAGCTGCTCTGAGGCACCTGCTCCACATTTGTGACCTTGAACTCCTGTTAGCTATGGGATGTAGGAAGGGAAAAGGCAAAACTTTCAAGGAGGGAATCTGAAAGGAAACTCCTATATAAAGCTGGGATTGGGTTTTACCTCGAGTATACAGCAAGTAGAAACAAATTTGCCCTGCAAGGAAATCTGGTCCTTCAATCTTGATTTTAGGTGAAAGAAAAATAAATCTCATTCAAAAACTTGTAGTTATAAAGTGAGCTCTCGTACGGGTATTCAGTACAAATTCACATTGGCTGTGTAGTCTACTTCAAACCAAAGACGTATTTAAAAGCAGTACTAAACATGTGGATACACTAAAAACCATAGAGATGTGCACTTATTTAAAGGGGTAAATTTTATGGTATATACATTATATCAAACACACCCTGTTAATGATGGGAAAAAATGTGGTCCTGATATATGGTGCCTCCCAGTAACTGGCAGAATCATACACGAATGTTTCCCAGATAAACATGCCTACAACCCAGCTACATTACTTACTGATAAATTTTTAAGGAATAAAAATCACAGTTAAAACTAAAAAGTATACAAGGAAACGGGGCATGAGCAAAAGTCAGCCAACTAGACAAGCAAAGACTTCAAGTACCGGAATTATTTAACAATCAAAGAGTATGTGCACAAGAATATGAAACTACATAATAAGAAATCAAAAGTGAGAGGAAAAAGAGACTATGAATAATGACTAAAACAATTTGAAAAAAAAATCTAAATGTACATTCTAGAAATGAAAAATAAATTGAAATTAGGAAAGACTTGAAACTATAAAACAAAGATATTTGCAAATCACATGTCTGTAAAAGATTTACTTTCAAAACACATAAAGTACTCATACAGCTCAACAACAAAAAGACCCCATGTCTCTAAAGAGGACACTAAGAGGCCTAAAGGCACATGACAAATATAGAAAATTACCTGTTATAAAGGAAATGCAAGTCAAAACCACATGAGCTATCACCTCACCCCTGTGAGAACAGCTATGCCAAAAAGAATAAAAGCAATAAAGGTTGAAGAGGATATGAAGAGA